ACAAAATAGCTACACCTCTAGAGTTTGAGCTAACAGATGAAAAATAACAGTCATAAACCCACATAGATCTCACTATGTTTTCTATATCATTTGTAAAATGAGTATCCTGAATACAATATATATTACAGTTCTTAGACTTCAGCATATCAAATATGTCTTTTCTTTTTAATGTGTTCCGAAGGCCTTGACAATTAACAGACAAAATCTTTAATGAACTCATTGACCATAAAATGTTTGCATCCAAATTACATCAAGTAGTTGAATGAAAGAAATAAAAATAATTTTCTAATAATGATGTAAACACAGAAAAGTAATTAGAATGGGAATGTCAAACAGGATAATTTTCAAAAAATTGTTTGAAAATAATTGAAAAAAATAGAACAATAAATGAGAAAAAGTTTAAAAAAATATTCAATTGATTGAATATGACAATTGTGATAAAGCATTTTCATAATTATGAACAATGTTTCACAATTTTTCAGTTTATACAGAATAATATCTATACATTAACATTTGCCATAAGTGTTTCTTATATTTGTAAGTGTGAATAGTATATATTTACATGTTCAATTATAAGAATAATAGAAATTAGTGACTCAATGGAGATAACAAAAATACAAGTTGAATCACCTTAAACATTATAAATGTCATGATTGTATACTCTAGTTCTAAGTATATTAATTTCACCATAAAATTTCTATACATTATAAATTGTCATCAATATTTCCTATCATTATAAAGTAGTAATGTATAAACATATTCAATGACAGAACTAATTGGACATATTGATTCAAGGGAGATAAAAAAATTTACACATTGAGTCAATTCCAATATAAGTAGTTAAATTATTTCTTATTTCTAGATATCAGTTTGTATAATTTTATAGTAACTAATTTAGATGTCAAAATGAGTACTTGTAAAAGCAGTTTCTATTAATTTCAGTTAAAAAACAAGAATTTCAATACATTTTGTCTATTTTCTGTGTTGTAACCTTGTCCTAATATTATCAATTATGTTAAACTTAAGTTTCAAACCATCTTCTGTTCTACCATATACTCCAGAGTTGTAAAACCATACAGATTCAAAACAGTTCATGTCTCTCAGTTTACTAATAAGCTGCATGTTTCTCCAGGTAACGTCGTCACTTATGCGTACACTGTTATTCCAGTTTTTTTTCTATTTACCATCACTTTTCTTTTAACATCATTATTGAATAATCTTACAATCATTGGTTTTGGTCCAGGTTTGTCTGATGGCAAGCGGTGAATAGCAACAACATCCCGCTCTTCTAGGTGCACATTAAGATCCCTTTTCACAGTTTCTGATATTAAGCATAGGGTGGAATGTTTATTATTAGCAGGTTAAAGAGCTTTGAGCTTGCATCCAGTAACTGCGAGCATTCCTGAATACGTATGATTTGTCATTTATTTTCTGTTTAAATCTAATTATCTGTTATAAAATTATTTCTTTACAAAACTAATTGCACCAACAGAGTTATGAGGTAGAATGACTAAAATCTCCATACTTCATAAGTTTTACAGTCACCACCACGATTTGATTGACCGATACGACATAATTTCGCAATCTTAGATTTGTAAATACCGGGATAGTTGTCTAGTCTGTAATTTAACGATTGTGTCTTATTCCATATTGTGTCATTTTGACTGAGTGTGGATTCGCATGGCGGGTGATACATGCATAGAAGGAAATGTTTACCTTATCCACGCACCCTGTCTCGCCACCCTGTCTTGCTCCAGTTGGCTCATGCGATTCCCTCAGTTTTTCTTTGTTACCTTGTTTATTCTTCATAATCGATCATTGGGATTTGACCATTTGTACACTTCTGTTACCTTAAATGTTAAAAACAGATTATTCGGGACTGAATATTATTTTTGAGATATTTGTCAACATACGTATTTAAAAGGGAACTATAAAGGATAAAATTTTAGAGTAATCTTGATTTCAATTTGCAATACAAGTCATCAATAATTTTGTCTATCTTTTTCAAGAAAATGGCAAAATAAATTTATGACATTTACTAACTAATTTTTTATCCCTTTTCACATACTGTTCCAGTGTGCACACGTGGTTATATCAATAATTTTTAGATTCAAAATGTTAAAATTCAAGTTATATGGTCAATTGACCTATTACTTTGTTGTACGAAACATAAAAAGCTACATTCCGTCTCGTACACTATTGTATCATATATATATATATATATGAATGATTGTCTCGAAGTTTCTGAAAGGGTTAAAATGTTTGTGAGCGTTCAACTACAAATGCATCATCCAAACTAGCTCTTAAACCAGGTTAAACCCACTATTTTTTTTCTTTCGGGAAATGCCTTACCAAGTCAGGATTATGTCGAGCGTTTTGTTTTGTTAGTTTTCATGGATGTCTTCATTTTTAGTTTACCTTTTGTTACTATTTATATTATTCCCCCTAACCTGGGACAGTAGTGTAACAGTTAAACATAAGAACAAACTAACAAAAACGGTTTAACTCATTAGGTGTGTACGAACCACCAAAACCAACTTACAAAAATATAAAAAGACACAAACATATTGATCTAAGATTGGTTGCAGCTATTCAAGTTAGTTCAAAGCCAATTTCAACTAATAAATAAACCATGTTTTCAGAGATAAAAAAAATCCCAACATCCTCTTTCACCCCTCCCTCGAAAATCAAACGGTCGCTCCCTTTTAAAATGGCTATACACCGGTCTGTAAAATTATGTTAGGATTTGTTTAGGCGGCTTGGGTAGACGAAAATTAAAAAATTGTTTGATTTTCCATTTTGCGTTAGCTTTAGTCGTTTGGGTTTTATTCTTATTTCGGACATTTATAAACCATTTTATCTTTATTTATAGACAGGGATGTTTCTAGGTTCTTGCAGTTTTAATCGTATCCAGTTGACATACATTTGCACTTAAAAGATGTTTTAATCTGATCTATATGATCTATTTATTCGTCTATCCTACAGAGATAAATCTCTTTTTTCCCCATATGATTTACTGAGAAGATAAACTTATATGTATGAAATGAAAAAAGAAATAAATAACATATCTATTTACGCACTTGTTTACACATTTGTATACACAACAAAATAAAAGAATAAATCGAGCGAACAAGTAGGCTATCGAATTCATGTTTCGAAAAATAACATAGAATACCTCGCCACAATAGAGCTTTCTTACATTTTTAAGAAAGGTACGAACGAACGTAAAGGGAGCATGTATTACATTCTCACGATAACACTTAAAGTCTATGTTTTATCCGGTAAAACTGCATTCTCTTCCGAATCAAATGTATCTTTAAAAATTTAAGCATATCGCGAATAGAACGCGCATTTGATATCTGAAAATAAAGAAAAATAGTGAAAATACACTTACGTCCAATACGTTACTTATATTAACCATGATTACACACATTTGCGCGGGAATTGTTCATGCATGCTTTTTAAATGTTTAAACCATTAACATTTTAATGAACTTCTTGAAGTATGATACTCTGAATTTAACGACAAAGTTCTTTATTATTTTTATATATTAAAGACTATGCTATCATCAAATTGTCAACGTTAATCATCAGAATTTGCCAGAAATTTGTATGGAAAATGTTTAAAACAAACAAACTGGGAGATTGAAATAAAATAGATTTTGTTTGAAGTTCTTTTAATTGATTTAAAAGTCAAAGTGAACAAAAACGAGCGAACATGTGAAATCCCGTGTTAATTGAAGGGGAACACTAAAGTTGACTTAACATACATACACCCTCACAAACAGTTTTGATTAAGATACTAGTAGTTAGATATGGGATAAATGTCTACAAAACAACAGCCAACCAACAAATAAATGACCATCACCATCAATTTAAAAAGAGCTCGATATGAACATTAGGGTACGACCATTCGATTTTCAGGGGGGGGGGGGGGGGTGCACGAACAACCTTGCACTACATATATTCTGAATTTCATTACTGTTGATTTAAAAGCAAACATGCTTGGAACGATTCCATAGGTAAGCTTACAGACTCGGGTGTATGTACTCAACACAAAGCGACAAGCAGTGTTACACATGGGAGGAAGGGAATCACTAAAAAAAAGTTAATAAACGAGACCAATAACATTTTTGGGTTCATTTCAGTTTTACTATTGTGGGGGTTGCAAAAATAAATAGAAAGTAATGTTTTGGGTTTATTTTATTTTTTTTGGGGGGGGGGGGGGGGGGGGGGGAGGGGACAATATATTTGCCATGGTATTTTCTTAGGTTGAATATGCAAAGATGTATTTTTTTCATATTATTGTTTTTGGGGGATGGGTATTATTCTTCTTCTGACGAGGCCTTTGTTTTAGTAAATTTTGTTGAGTTATCCCTTTGAAATTCCTATGTTCCACGAAAATTCAAGTTTGACCTGTGTCGTTGCATGCAGTGTAATGGTTCCTGTACGACAAACATTGAGGCAAAACGCCATCTAAGTCCCATGACAGACTTGATTATGATTACATATTTAGATATGTCATATTTTGAAAAGAGTCAAAATACCTCTGAGGATTCCTCAGACGTGTTTTACGTATGATTCGTCAACCGTACGTACCTTTCGTCAAATTGTAAGAAAGCTCTAACAGGACATAGAATACCATGTCAAAATAGCACATATACTACCATGATCGAAAGAAAGAAAATAAGGGTTCTTATTCATATCGTTTTGATATGTTCTCGTCCTCAATATGATTTAATTTTGCTAACTGACGTTAATTAACAATCACACATCATCATAATTTTATAGGGGTTCATATTGGAAGGTATTATAAGTAGGTAAGTCAAGTGGCGATTCATCAATAAATGGCGACTATTGATGATATGTACGACAAAAATAACCACAACGTTTGAAGATACGGATCATTGATTCTTGTGTTAATAAAACTCAATTAACAATATACAATGCTATTACATTTAAATGTTTTAACTACTTCCAGGGTGTAAACGTCATTTCGAATATAACTAGCTTAACGAAATAGAAAAAGCAATCTACTTTCCAATAAGATATACTTCTCGAGGTGATTAAATTTTAACAAGAGATTAAACGACGTGATATTCTTAAACAATATATCGTTGTGTAACGTATTTAAAACTCTTAATTTGTGTGTGTGTGTCATTCTGCTCCTTTTGACAAGTAAATGTGGAACTGCTTGGTGGTTAATTAGAAATGATTTGTTTCATATTCTGCTTCGTGGCATTTCTCCAGTTCCCTTTGCCAGGTTTAGGACAAACTTTAGAAAATGTGACAAAACTATATGACGATCTTTTCAGTAGTTACAGGAGAAATATCATACCACTAAATAATCGGTCACAGCCTATAGAAGTTTCTCTTGCTTTCTTTTTATTATCTATCAATTCTTTTAGAGAGGTCGAGGAAACGCTCGTTCTAACAGGAGGATTGTCAGTGATATGGAAAGACACATCATTATCATGGAATCCTGTAGATTATGGAAATATACAATCTTTGGATGTGGATTCCACAGATATATGGATACCATGGATTTATCTAGTAAATAATGCAAAAGAATTTGAACCTGTTGGTTTTGATTCTGCTTTTAGAGTATATATAAATAGCAGCGGATTTGTTCATTATTCTCCAGGGAGTATTTTAGAAGCAAAATGCCAAACTGATATTTCAAAATTTCCTCTTGATACCCAGCCATGCCTATTGGACTTTCTTGCATGGGGTGGAGGCGCTACAACTTACAAATTAATATCGTCATTCAATGAAGTTAATTTAGATTACTACACAAAGGACTCAAATTGGGAGGTGGTAACTAGAGACACATATTCAAAACTAGAACCAGAAGGTTATTATAGGTTTCGTATGAGTTTATCATTAAAAAGAAAACCAATGTATTATATAGTAATGATTGTCCTACCAACTATGTTACTGTCATTACTTAATCCACTAGTGTTTTTACTTCCGGTAGAATCAGGAGAACGTATATCCTTAGCAATGACAGTACTTTTATCGTACGCCATATTTTTAACGCTTGTTTCAGCATCAATTCCAGCATCCTCTAATCCTATGTGTTTCCTGTTGATTGTTATGATTATCATCATGTTGATTAGTGGACTCACAGTAGTGGCTGTCATTATAACCACTAAGGTATACTATCAGGAAGAATATTTCCCTGGAAAGATTATGAAATTTTTCCTTTGCAGAAAGACAAGGAATCAGGATGTTATTCCTTTGGATTGTGAGAAAATAGAACACCAGTCTTTAAATGGAAAAAATGTATCTAATTTTCTCGACAGGTTTTTTTTTAATTTCTTCATATTTGATTATTGTCATAACTCTTGTGGCATATTTTCTGTATGTAAATACGTAAAAATACGAAAGCCTATTAGGGTCACAAAAAAAATATTTTTATCTAGTAATTACGAGATAATCATAGTTTTATCTCGTAATTACGAGATAATTATCGCGTAATTACGAGATAAATATCGCGTAATTACGAGATAATTATCGCGTAATTACGAGATAACTATCGCGTAATTACGAGATAAATATCGCGTAATTACGAGATAAAAATTCATTTGGCCAAGTAGATTAAGAGGAGAAAGATTTGTGTAAAAGATTAAAAAAAATTACTTAATTGCAGAAATGACTTTAAAGGGCAATAACTCCTTAAGGGGTCAATTGACTTATTTGTAGATCTTACTTGGCTAAACATTTTTGCTCCTTCAGTTTATATCTTTCTATTATAATATTCAAGATAATAACCAAAAACTGAAAAATAATCATTAAAATTACCAATTCAGGGGCAGCATCCCAACAACGGGAAGTGAAAATTTTTACCCTGTCATATTTGCTCTAAATGCTTTAGTTTCAGAGATATAAACCATAAACTACATTTTACCCCCCCCCCCCCCCATGTTCGATTTTTAGCCATGGTGGCTATCTTGGTTGGTGGGCGGGGTCTTTGGATACATTTTTTTAAACTAAAAAACCCTAAGGATGATTAAGGCCAAGTTTGGTTCAATTTGGCCAAGTGGTTTCAGAGGAGAAGATTTTAGTAAAAGTTAACGGACGACGACGGACGACGGACGCCATGTGATGGGAAAAGATCACTTGACCCTTTGGGTCAGTTGAGCTAATAAAAACGGGCGTTTTATCAGGTGCCCCGGAAGGGTAATCACGATCTGTATATCTATATATATATATATGTGTAATTTTATCTCGTAATTACGAGATAGTTTTCTCGTAATCACGTGATAATTATCTCGTAATTACGCGATAATTATCTCGTAATTACGAGATAAAAAATGATTATCTCGTAATTACGCGATAATTATCTCGTTATTAACGAGATAAAAAATGATTATCTCGTAATTTCGCGATAGTTTTCTCGTAATTACGAGATATTTATCTCGTAATTACGAGATAAATATTATTTTTTTTTGTGACCCTAATAGGCTTTCGTATAAAAATGATAGAGGCTAGAGAAATTACATTTAAAATATCAGCCTTTAAAGACGATAACTATTGATTATTCATCACCTTGTTGAAGACTGTATGTAGACCACTAGATGTTCTTTGTTTTTTTTGTTGGCTTTTTTTTTGTTTGTTTGTTGTTGTTTTTTGGTGTAATGCTTTCACTCATCAAATATATGACATAGATCATTTTAAGCTTCTTTCACTGATAAAAATATACCTGAAGTTAACATCAAGCACACTATGGTGAGAATTTAAATGCTATTAAAAAATAATAAAATGAATTGATCCTTCCTTATCATCGTCAATATAAAACAATAATTTTCTTTTGCAATCTATGTAAAAAGTCAATAAAAACATGACATAAAAATGTTTTAAAAAAATTTACTTCTTGATACGAAAAAACTATTGAGAACCTTAAGTTAGATGATTACTACATACTATTTTTACTTTAATTTTTATGTAGATTTAGATCGGGTGCTTTTGTCAGAGAGCTTTTAACCTACATATAATAAATAACTAGTAATGAATATTGCATGTTGTAGTTGGTGATATTCAAGATAGCATTGTGGTGCCGTCTGTTATATAACGTCATACTTGTTTTGGTGTGTCTGTTTTTTTAAATCAATTGTTATTGTTGTTGTGCAAAATTTCACTTGAATAAAGTGTAAAGAAGATTTTGATCTGAAGACTTTCTAAAAACTTATTTTGATTACTATTTTTTTTAAATAAGTTTATACAAACTTTTTAAATTTTACGTGTTGAAAGTAATATTCTATCTTTGAATTTCGATATTAACTTTCATTGTAATCTTTATAAAGAACGTTGACTGGTCAGTGTTCGATGTTAAAATTTCCAAAGGAAATGTGAGCTTTTGCCATCACTTGGCGTCCGTCGTCGTCCGTCGTCGTCGTCGTCCGTCCGGTGTAAACTATTTCAAACATCTTCTCTGTAACTACTGAACCAATTCCAACCAAAATTAAGTTGAATGATCCTTAGGGTATCTAGAATAAAGTTTGTGTTTTATTTTCTGTTTCATCAAAAAACATGATGCTGAATCAATTTCAGCCAAACTTGGGCTGAATTAGTTTCATAGTATCTAGTATAAATTTTGTATTTTATTTCCTTGTACGTCAAGAAACATAGCCACTATGGCTAAAATGCATTTTTTTGCTTTTGAAGAAAATATGACAGATACAAAGAACATTTAAATAGCATTTTTAAGCCACTCATTAATATATATTGAAAAACAAAAATAATCATTGATGAAAGATTTAAGCAAAAAATTACAAGTGAGCGAGTCAGGCTCTTGAGAGCCTCTTGTTTGATATAAGTTAGAACACCGAGGAAGCAAAAAATATGTGCCATGTCACTACTTTACATCATAATGTAATGGTGTTCAATTAGTCAACATGTCAACACAATGATTGAGTTAGAATATAGTTTTAGTGTAATTGAGTAGGAAGATCAATGTTATACATTTCAGCAAATGTTGTCCAATTTTGATATAATTCAGTAAGTTTAAATAATTTTCTAAAATTGATCACCAGTAAATTTGATGAAATTAATTGAATGGAATGGTCGTAGAAACCTAATTATCCTTAAATCAATATTGCTGTATTACCGTTAATGACTGTTTTATATTGGTCAATATTATATCGAACGTACAATACTCTTAAAATTCTTATTTAATTTGTTTAGTAGTTTCGGGTTCAATTTTAGGAATTTCGATTGTCTATTTGAGTATATTTCTTTAAGGGATCTTTAATACTTGTATCTTTTTAAGCGATTTAAGTACATAGCAGAAATGGCTGTTATTTTTGGTGCTGTTGATTTTTAATGCTTGAGGCAGCAATAACCAATTTATTTTTGTTTTTGTTTCACCAAGCTGGGGATCGAACCTCGATCTTCTAAATCGAGAGAGCAATTTCGTAGAAAATTCAAACGTTTTCAGAGCTTATCTTATTGGTAAATTTCCACTTCGATCTTAAAAAGTTCAATCAAATTAAAAACTTTGACTTTAATGATCCTGCGATCCTGTTCACGTTTGCTTTCGGTATTCTCGCCAATTGCCTTTTTCTTCACTGTAGCAACTCAAACATTTGGAATGTATTATTCACAAACCATTATGGTGTGCAGAAAGGCAAAACAAAACAGACATTTTCAAAACTCAAATACCATTCTGCTAAATTGTATTTAACTAATTCAAAACAATAACTTATGTTATTTATTTCCTGTTTTCAATAGAAAGTTTACTTGAATTTGAAACTGCATAACTGCAGTTACTCAATATCGTTTACAAATCTTTCGATTGCTGACACTATAAATATTGGACTATATTTTTATTTTATCTTAGTGATAATGATATAACTTTCCTTGAATCAAATGTGCCCTGTCGTAAAAAAAGTAAAACAAAAATACAAAGGCAAATTTGATAATAAAGAGCTGCGCCATGAGCGCATGATACGCCCGTCGCTTTTTCAAAGAATTAAGTTCCATAACTCCTCAATATCATATCAGAAAATTTATAAAAAAAAATAAGGGAAGGTTATTTTAATAGATATAAACCAGTCACCAAAGTTTCATGAAAACTGCTGAAAGTACTTTTGAGTTATTGTCCGAAAACTGGAAAATCCCCCCTTTTTTATGAATAAAATCCCATAACTCTGATATGTAAAATCTAAAATTTATAAAAATCGAAAGGGAGCATACGTCAATAGATATAAACAATTCGTCAAAGTCTCATGAAAACTGCTCTAAGCATTTTTGAGTTATTGTCCGAAAATTCTAAAATTTATAAAAATCGAAAGGGAGCTCACGTCAATAGATATTAACACTATTTAATTAACACTTATTAATTTAACATATAAAGTTTCATGCAAATTGGTTAAAGCGTTATTGTGTTATTGTCCGACATGTTAACGACGGACGGACGGACGGACAACGGTATACCATAATACGACCCGTAAACGGGCGTATAAAAAAGTGAAGTCCATAAAAACTGACTAAATCAAACGCTGTCAATTAACGGAACAAGTGAAATACAATTGCCATCTTCTCCATTACATATTCCCTTTATTGCTGTAATAAATGCTTATCCAATATAAAGTTCCCTATAAAGTAAAAAAGCGCATGATACCGGTTTCGTGACCACAACAAGTTATTTTGGATGGAATTTCTTCGAGAGCAAACGTTTTGGAAAACCTAAATATAACACGTTTGATGGTATATATAAGAACCGAAAGGTTCTAAACAGAACAGCCAAAACCATCTTAGGTCATCTTTACATGTCTATGATCAAAAGTGACATAAAACATAACCAAAACCATCTAAGGTCATCTTTACATGTATATGATCAAAAGTGACATAAAACATAACCAAAACCATCTAAGGTCATCTTACATGTATATGATCAAAAGTGACATAAAACATAACCAAAACCATCTAAGGTCATCTTACATGTATATGATCAAAAGTGACATAAAACATAACCAAAACCATCTAAGGTCATCTTACATGTATATGATCAAAAGTGACATGAAACATAACCAAATCAATCTAAGGTCAACTTTGCCTGAGGGAGTTGGAACCCTAGTTAAATGTATTGTTCTTAATTCATCAACGGGAAACTTATTTGTAAAAGTATGTTGCGCGACACAAAAAGACACCGATACAAAGTGATAGACACCAGATTTCAACTGCTGAAAGACAGATGCCAAGAACGACCCATCAACGTGATACTAAATGACTATTCTTCATATACCTGATAAAAAAAATAATGACTATGTGAATATATTGTGATTTTGTGACTTTTAAATATATTGTTCTGTGACTTTTAGATAGATTGTCTTGTTACATTTTAAATATGTGTTGTATTTTGGGATATCAACATTAAACATGTGTTCTTCGTATAACTTGTTTTTACTTAGTGCCTTATCTATTTCCTGTTTGCAATAAATTATAAATAAATTTGCTTCAAAGATTTTATAAATTATGTTTGTAATAAAAGCACTTTATCATACGTTCGTGTATTTGTATCATTGAGATATTCTAATGAACAATTATAAAAACACTTTTATAAATCAATCTCAATGTTTTGTCATTAGTTGTATGTTGAGTATATCCATTGAATTTACATCAAATTATTGAAAAAATATTTGATTTATTAGCACGCTAATGGAACTACGCAATGAAAAATACCTGAATACATAGAAATCACAGACAAATTATATATACTTGGAACAGACTTTACATTTGTATGGTCATTAAACCTTTTGTCTATTTTGTTACTTAACTAGTACATGCATACACTGTATTTGGTGTACTTAAAAGTTGACAAACCAGGCTGACTTTACCTTCTATAATTGGTCTACAAAAACACAATCCAATAATCTGCATGCTTTCAGAAAAATGATTAACGTGATTAAAGAATGTAATACATTGCATATTCATTTCCTTACAAAATGTTATTAATCATGGAGTATTCCTTTCGTTGTTTTGAATGTATTGCTCCCTATATATTTATATAATTCGATTGTTATCTTGTGGTGTAACTATACATGTATTAGTGATGAAGTTTATGTTCTGTGTATTACAAAGGGTTAATATTCTATTTGTTTATTTTTAAACACCATCTTGTATGGAATATATTTATTTATTTATTTATTTATTTATTTATTTGCAATGTAATATATCTTAAAATTACTGTATAATTTTATTTCTTTTTGACAATGGCAATTTATTTATTAGTCTAAAGCTGTTACAATTACCTTATTGCTACAGCTTTCACGAACAAGATAAGATAAGATAAGTTAATAATAGTAAGTGTCACATATTGATCTATCATAAAATTACAAAACAACATCATAAACAAAAAGGATCAATACCCAGCCTTAAAAGACTTATGAGACACTGTATATACAAATAAAAGCTATAATATTAATACTAAGGGAAAATAATGTTTACAAAAAGGCATAGTCATGTTTTACATCATTTGAAATTAATTAAATATATACATATGATTATAAAATATCATAGTCATGAACGCTTCAAAATGGTAATAATCTGGAACTTAATAACATAAATCAACGATAAAAACAAAAGAATTATCATTACAGTTAAATTCGTTTAAAAACACCACTAGGGTAAAGGTTACGTAAGCTTACGTTTACTTCAAGAGTAGCTAAGAGATTCATAAAGTGAAGATTTACATTGTAAAAAAAAATTACTAAACCAATACAATAAGTTTTAATTATGTCATTCATTACACCAAAATGCTACTACGTCCAACATTCGTTGAAGTTTCGATTTATCAGGTGCTATAAGCGCAATGTTATCTACTTTAAATATAATATGATATAAATGAAAATCATCTTAATTCTTATGTATAATTAATACTATATATATGTTACAGGCATTTTCTAAATTTAGACATTTTGTAAAATGCCTTAAAACTTTAGGCATTTTCTAAAATGCCTGCAAGATTCAGGCAATTTACATAATGACTAATTTTTCTAGGCATTTTACAAAATGCCTGGAAAAATTGAAAGGCATTTTACAAAATGCCTGAAATTAGTTTATAGAATGAAATGTTAAAAAAAAACCAATTGAAAGCTTTGAACGACAGACCAGTTAGATTTATGATAATTACTGAATGTTAAAGCTTGCATTTTAAGAGTTTTGATAATCAAAGATAAATTTTACTGAATTATTCCAAATTCACACAAGCACAGAACTCGACAATTATTTGTTATTTCTTAAAATGTTTGGATGACAGAATTGTTACACAATATTTGTCCTGATTGTTTGCAAATACATTGTTTGGCGTAAAATCTTGTTTTAGCACTTCGACCACATTTGGAGAAACCTGGATCATGACACATTTATCTCTTTCATTACCTTTTCTGATAAAACACTTGAAGTTCTACAACATTGGGTTTCTCAATAAGCACACAAGTCACACATGAATATCTTCTTTTTCGTATGTTCCCAAAAGATTCAAAGTACATTATCATGATTAGTTTGACTTGTATCTTTTGGCTTATAGCTTTTAAAGGACTGAAGCAGATCTGCCCATGAGGGGTGATGCATCTATAGCAGGAGACGCTTACCCTGTCAATGCACCGTTATTTGTCTCTTCTTGGTCGATTTTCGAGATTTTAACCACATTTAACTATTGTCTCATGAATTCATCAGATTGCAAAGACCCAGGAATTCCCTTGAGGCAGTGAAGATGAAGACCGTTCTGAAGGTGGAATTTTCTGTCCCTATCCAAAACACCTTCATTTCAATTGCAAGCGGCAGTCGAAATTCCTGTCCTTTATCCAGGTCAATCCACTGCAGAAATAACCCAGATGAATTATAACCAAATTGTTCTGGTCTTAAAAATGCAGGAAATGTTTGCTACTGAAAGCAAACAAACAGCAATCAGTCAATTAAAATCAAACTTCTTTTTCTCTGCTTCATATGTTTCACTTCACTGTTTTGAATCTAGATTTTCTAAAAATTTGTTTGTAAATTTTGTTCTATTGAAAGAACAATTTGTCATTCTGCTATTTTGACAAAATTTTCATAAATTTACTACTAGTATCTGAAATACAGAGTGAGTACATACTTAACGTAGTTTCACTAACCTTTTTGAAGAATAAATTAATTCTACCGAACCCTTAGTTATTTTCTTTGCATGATGTTATGTTTTTGTCATACGCATCTCAATGATATCCCTTTTCTACAAATTGCCTGAAACCGAACAGGCAATTTGTTGAATTTTGTTTCAAAATTTCAGTCATTTTACAAAATGATTAGGTATTTTTAGTCATTTTATATAATGCCTGTCAAGGTTAGGCATTTTATAAATTGCCTGAAAATTCAGTCATTTTACAAAATGCCTGAATTTAGAAAATGCCTGTAACATATATATATATATAAATATTTAGAGTGATTATATATATGGGCTCTTTAATAGGATTTAAATAAAGTATTCGTATTCGTATGGACATATTGTTGCAAAAAAGTGTTAAATTAATTATTTTATAAATATTTTGCTTATTAGCTATCATAGAATAGTTTTTTTAAGCCCTAATTTCGTATGAAAAGTGAATGGTACCTGGTCATGTGTGGCGATAAATTGAACAAAGTTTATAATAAAACATTTAATAGCACTATTTTTTGCTCTCTATAAGCTTGGAGATTAGTTTTTGTAACCAAAAAGGGCTAATTTTGCCTATTTTTTCATTTACAGGGCCTGGCAAAATCCGACAGTTGTTACATCCTACCTGAATTTGAATTTTGAAAAAGAAACTAGATATATTTATCCAAGGCCAGTTTCACTGTTTTACAATAATTCTACGCACATTCTCAAAATCGGAAATGTTAATCATACCTATACATTGCTGCTGAAGACAGTTGTAATACAATATCACAATTTGTTCATGTTTTTTTTTAAATTTTGCACTGAATAACATTCTTAACCTACATGAATTAGTTTGTATCAGAAAGACAAAATAGTTTTACTTCCAATTTGATTTGTTTTGGGTTTTTTTTTTTGCCGTTAAGAATGTCTTTCTTATTCATTTTTGCGATAATTACTTGACATTTACCAACATCTACCCAAATTGCCGTTTTTAGCCATTTCAGGCAATTATAATTTGGTTGCATAATCACAAATACGTCACAATGCTGTTAGAATCGCATACTAGTCACACACGAAGCCATTCGAGTCCATTTTATCCTGTTTTCCAAATTTTGATATTTCCTTGTCCAAGTTAGTGGTCATCCTGTTGATGGCTGAACTTCTAGACAGTCTCCTATGATATTCATACTGTGAGTCAATTTCCATAGTTAGCATAACAGCGTTTATTAAACATATATTCCAGTTTGAGGCGATCACTATAGAGACTATTCATTCATTTCCATCTGGATTTTTTTTAATTTAATTGTTGTCTCTAACTAAGACACTAAGATAAGTAGAAATTTGAATACACATTATTTTTTGATAATTGTTTACAAAATCAGCAACATTTAAGAGACACTTTTAATTGAAATATAACATTTTATCATTTATAATCATTGAAATAGTCCAAAATGTCTTATAATACTTTGTCATAGTTGACATTATAGGCGGTCCGAGTTGACACGGTCCGACTTGTCTCCGGGCCGAGTTGGCCAGAATTCATTCAGACAAGATGGCTGCGCCCATGAAGCACAGTGCGACCTTCTTGTCGCACATTTGTTCCAAAGAATATATTTTATTACGTAGATCTTTCATGGTACATAAAAGTTTAAGTCTTCCCCTTTTATTGCAACAAATTTGACGACAGTTTTTCAGCAAAATGAAAAAATACGAACCAAAAAACTCAAAAAAAATTAATGCCAAAACTAAAAACAAAAAAACCCATCAAAACGTAATTATTATTTGGACAAACATACATGTGTAGTGGTTGTACCCATTATATAAGTTACTCATTTTGGGAACCACTGTTGTGTCAAATTGTAAAATTGGAGAGTGAAAACCAGTGTTACCAAAATATTGTCAACTGTCCTGTTCCTTTTTTTTTTCACGGGGCCTCGGTGGCTGAGTGGTCTAAGTAGTTGAACTACTGTATCACTAGCCAGTCAACACTGAGGTTGTGAGTTCGAATTTGGAACAGGGCAGGTGCACACGACTATTAAACAGGGACTAAACATAACTCTTTTTCTCCAGGGGCCAGCTGGGCCCCCAAAATATTTTGTTCAGGGGAACAACCAATTTTTATACTAATGAAATAAAACTTACATGTACATTTCATATACTAATAAAGCCTTTTTATGTAATCCTATATGTAATGTTTGAGTCTGGTAAAGGTTATGTGTGGTAACTTTATAATATTTGAATTATTGCCATCATAATATCATAAGATTTGACAGTACTGAATTTAGAACATTTCCCGCCAAAATTGTAAGGAGGATTATTAATACAAGAAGTAAAACAGGAAGTGGTGCAATCTTGTTATGTTCAAAGTACAAATTTCTTTGATTCTTCTTTAAATTTCATACTCATGGTTAGGTATTTAACTTAATCTCATTGTCAGTTAATTAGTGTTACACGATCAGGTAACAATTTTACCGGAAACGCCGACAGGCATGAAATTTGGAAATTTTATTTTTTGAAAAGGCAGAGGGGTGCATTCTATTGCTTTGGAGGGCAGAAGGGCGGGGGTAAGGGCAACAAGGGCGGGCCGCCCTTCTATTTAGGGCAGGCGGGAACACTGGTGTTGAAAGTGGCGTTTAAGCACCAATCAATCCTTTTTTTTCCAAGTTTATCTTTACCATTAACTTAAAATGACTGTGTTTACACCTCACAATAGGCTATTTCTGGAATTATCCGGAAAAGATCGTCAATTTCGCACGCCTTTATGACGTCATTTACCAGATAGAAGGCGCGCCTGTATCCCTGCTCTATTAAAGTTTTTTAGCACTTTCAGAATCGTCATTCTGCAGGGTAGTCTAGAAATAATTTATGTTCCGTAAGTACGTAATCTTAATTCCCATACGACTGAAGGCAGGGTGACCAACTTATTAGATTTTAATTTCCCAAATAATTTGTGCAGTATAAGATCAAACTTTTTCACCCATTCGCTCAACATGTGTTGGAAGTGACGATGCCTACATTTTGGTCACATGGTGATGGAAGTCACATGACAGATTCAACTAACTACCGTATCCCGGACCTGGCGTATTAACTCTGAGTATAGGCTTGTTTACACCTCACAATTAACTTTGAGTAAAGGCTTGTTTACACCTCACAATTAACTCTGAGTATAGGCTTGTTTACACTTCACAATTAACTCTGAGTATAGGCTTGTTTACACCTCACAATTAACTCTGAGTACAGACAAGCGTATGCATCTGGAAAAGTTTTAAGGCATGGCATGACCTAGTTATATAAAATTCAAATACTTTTTATGCCCCCGCTGTAGCGGAGGGGGCATTAAGTTTTACTCTTGTCCGTCTGTACGTCCGTCCTTCCTTCAGTATGTTATGAAACTTATGCACAATGCTAATTACCACAAAACACAGATCAAGTTTGAATTTTGGTGGTGTCACTTGTACCGTTTTAGAGTTATGCCCCTTTACAAATGGAAAAATTGCTGAATTTTTTGTTTCCGTTCTCTAACTTAAGTTTGCCTCAATTTAATGTTATGAAATGTATACACAATGCTTATTACCACAAAACTCAGATCAAGTACAACTTTGGGTAGCGTCACTTTTACAGTTCTTGAGTTTTGTCCTATTATAACGTTATATGCAAGCGGGGGCATCATCTGTGTCCTATGGACACATTCCCCATTTATTTATGTTTAATGAAATCAAAGATTAAACTTAATTTTGCTATGTACGTCAATCGTCCCTGCATAAGTTGAAAATTGTATTGGGCAAGTCTTTTGCATTGTTTAATACATTAGACATTTGTTAGAAGGCCTAGAATGCAAACAACATAAAGAACAATCTTAAAAAATGGCAGAATTGCAAGTTTACTTTTGATGGAAAAGTGTTGATAAAGAAAACTCAAAATTTTGTGTTATCTTTAAATATTCAGATCCTCTGCAACAATGCAGCATGGTTACATTATATACATAATTCTCATTCTGGAACATTTTTAGAACTGACCTGAGTGACATCAGTTTTACTTGGTTTTCCTAATGACTTTTTAATATTTGGATTTTACATACCTGGCAACTGTCACTATTTGTGGGTGATTTCCCCCATGGAGGCTCCCAAATGGAAATTTTGAAAGAGCAATTTTGTCCACAATTTAAAACAAAATAATCTATTTTATCATGGTATAGGATTGTAAAAGTATGAAGAAGCAAAAAACCAACATTTAAATAAATTTGAAGGCCCTTTTAAAGGTTTTGTAGCACTATGAGTCGTATGAGAGCCATCTTGCACATAGGTATGATTTTAATATATCAACCATCTGTCCACACTTTACCTACAATTTGCTACAAGGTCTGATAAGGCTGTCTTCTTCTTTGTTTCTTGATAATTTTTAATTTAATCAATGCAATTTCTGTAGATGTGTATTATTAAAAAACCACATACATGACATGGGACGAAAATACCTAGAGCAGATCATGAGATGATTAAAACATTAATCAGACTGTACAAAAGAAAAAGTTATTAAAAGTTGTCAGGCTTATAATTTTAGTATGCCAGATAACCATTCATCTACTGGTACACAAGAGACTTTTTAAAAACAGTAAATGTGTAACCTTTTCAATACATTTACTTTGAAAAAGACAAAGTTCTGCTTTGTCAGAATAAAATATTGGTTAAAAAAAATGATTTAATGTAATGATTTACACATATGGATACCCTGCTGGTAATCAGCAAGCTCAGATCATCAATGATGATTCATTAGAAATAGCATTTGCAGTTATAATTTATAACAATCCAGTCCATGGTTAAGACACTGAATTTCTGAATTAAGTTAAGTGTTTAAAATTTTTTGAAAAATGTCATTATATGCAATCTCTTCTTTTTAATTGTACTGTTCTTTGATTTTGCACTCCCAATTGGGTACTAGGATTAAGTTTTGAAGAAACTTGCTAATCTCTATGTTAAAATCTTTCAGCAAAGTCAGCTGATATGCGCAAGAGAAAAAAACTCAGAGTCTGTAACTTCAGTACGAATAGATTCCAAGATACTGAAAACTCCAACCAAAACAGACGGTAAAGCTCAAAAGATTAGCAGAGCAATGAGGGCATACTTAGAAAAGGCAAAACGATATCGTAAGTATAATTTAAATTTGAATTAGCCAAGAGCCCTGAAACTTGCTTCTTTAGCATGTTTAGTTAAAAGTTTGTAAATGCAAAAAAAATTCTGTATTTTTGCTGTTAAAATCACAGTTTTTTGCGTGAGTCAGTGATCTGTTTGGAATATAAAAACATTTAAGTATAACATTCCATTGGCCAACATGGCCAAGCAGCTTACTTGGAATATATCAGAGTAAACAGAGGTAATAAGTCCAAAGAAAAGTAATTACATTGTAGTTGAAATGTAAAATGTGTAATGAAATGAAGGAGAAGAATATAGTGAATTTGTACATACTTATTTTTAAACAAATAGATTGAATTAATTGGCAGTCTTGGAATTTGTCTCTGTAAAATGGTATCTTTTACCATTAATATATTTGACACATTACCCGTTTCCATTCTCAATTTTATTAATTATAATTTCATTCAATAGTAATGATGTGATAAAATCTCATTAATTATAACAGTTGTAGGATTGATGAAAGTAAAACTCCTTGTTGCTTTTGATTATTCCCCCTGCTTGATATTTTAGAGTTTCAGAGGATTTTTAATAAAAAATGGGCATTTTACAAAATACAGGTAAACTTGGCCCATGGACAACTCCTATGGTGCAGTGCTCTGATTTGTCCATGGGCCGAAATTACCCGTATATTTAATGATTGGATCATGTCTCAAAAAATAAAATGGAAATACCAACCTACCTACCCTATTTTTTTAATGATGTAACCTTAGACAGGCATATATTTTTTTTTTTGCCTAATTTAAGAATATGTAATAAGTAATAACAGGAATTGCCAAAAAATCCCACACAGCGCCCATTCACCAACACTTGACTACTTAAAAAGATAGACATGCACTCAAAGACAAACAAAACAGTAAAAAGCCTGACTTCACAAACACAAACTATTAGTTTTTACCAAATCTCACAAGATTAAATGCAAATGTTTGTTTGTAAACACTCTTTCAATTTTATCTATTGAATTTTTTTTCTTCAAAATACTTTTAAAGAAATAAATTTTGATTTCACCTATTCATAATTATTCATAATGATAAAAACTGACAAACATAAGTTCCCTGTAAAACATTGTAATTTTCCAGATAAGGATAAGTGTATTTTACACATATGGGACAGTTTTTTATTCCACTCTCACATCAAATAATGTTTGTTTTACAGAGGATGCTATGGATGAGCAGAATACACTGTATGAAGTTGGCAAGCGACATTTAGCAAATATGATGGGAGAAGATCCAGAAAGCTTTACTCACAAAGATGTTAAAGTAAGATTTTAGAAAGCAGTATTGTAATGGATTATTGTTACACATTATACAATATGTTTGTTCGAATGCTGAAATACTATGTACCATTATTGAATTTTTATGAATCTCAGTGGATCTTATACTCGAAAGAAATTGCTCAAAATTGTTGAAAGGTGGCTTGCTACAAGAAAAAATTTCTGCCTCTATCAAAACACTTTTTTTCGTGTGGCTGTCCAAATTTCTGGTCCTGTATTTAGATAGACTTTGCAGAATCTATCTATTTGATTTAATATTAATTTGTTCTTGTCTTGAAAATGCATCCAAACTTTGTAACTGAACAGCAAACAGACAACAATCACAAACACAATCTCTTCACATCAAGATATCTTTCCATAGTTAGAACTCATACTCTTTTTTTCCCTTCAGATCCATATTCCCATAATTTAGTATTGTCCATTTTCATATTTTCATCATCAGAGCATTTTTGTGTTTAATATTTTAATAAACCTTATTTGGTGCTTTTTACGTTTACATGTAGGTACCAGTTATCAGTTTTTCTGCATATTGATATGCATATTCAGCAGAGAGCCACAATATAAACTTTTGTATTGTGTGAGTGCAGCAAACCAGTTCATAAACTTCATATTTTGTCAAAAAGCTGATATTTTACAATATCAATATGCTGAAAATCTGATAACTAGTACCACCATGATCAAGCTATCCCTTTAAAAGAAAACCCTTTCAATCTTTTAATATAATGTTACACCAGTTTTAATTAACTGTATGGAGGGAAAAAGTATTATCTCAATAAGATCTCAATTCATTATATTACAGAGAGCTGTTGCATACCTATTACCTTCAGGACTTCATGAAAAGAAAGCCAGACCTGTAATGCCGGTAAGGATGTCATTTTTTACCAACCAGTCTACCATATGGCTGTCATATTTCCAGCCTTGTGGTCATAAAAAAATTGGAGTATGATTTCCATACTCAGACTCCGAATTCAAACAACCAAAATACTGAATTTGGTGTTTCCAGCAGAAATTTTGTACACCCAGTACTGAGTAAAGTTTTATGACCATAGGCTTGAATTTAGTACAAAATTTTGAACAAGGAAATGTTGAACAGTTTTACAATAAAAAATGAAAGAGTACAGATAAAAAATGTTATGAACATGTGTAGCAATTTTGAATGGAAAGTGAAAGAAATACCTTTATAAGTATTAAATTGCAGGATAAAAAAATTTAATACAGGTACCTTCTCAAATTTATCAATTCACTTTGTACTAACTTACAAAGCAGTTAAAAAGCTAGTAAAAGCCTTGCTTTTCTCTCTGTTCCTCAGCTCTACAAATAAATATTTATATAGTTTGACAATACATATAAAAATAAGAAGATGTGGTATGATTGCCAAAGAGACAACTCTCCACCAGAGACCAAATGATGTAGAAGTTATGTATATTTTATGAAAACAATGAATATGCCTCTGAGTGTAATTCTGTATCAGAGGACAATACTAGTATTTGATTTAAATAAAATGGACTATTATTAGATTTTTCCAGTATATGATATTTATACTCTACTTTTATTTATTTACAGTTACCTGTAGACATACTTCCAGTACAAAAAGGTAGTGTAAAACCAAGAATAATGTAACCTTTCTTTTAAGAATGTAAAGCAGTGATGGGTTTGACCCCCTTTTGTTTTTTTAGATAAGGCAGGTAAAAATAATTGTTAACACCATCAGCATAAATATATTTTATAACCCATTAATATGTGAAATATAATACATTCACAATTATAAAAAAAAGAAGAAACAAATAAATCTGCAATGGACTGTTGCTGTAGAGATCTATAATATAGAATAAAGACATAAACAGTGTGCCCCCTTTCCCCTTCCCCCTGGTAATCATGCATATAACCTTAGTCAACTTTTCATAGTGGTTATAATTGCACAAAAAACTTATCAGAGCTTTTGTAAAGAAACTATTAGTTGGCAGTTTTTAAATAAACATATTTTTTTTATACACAAGACTTATATGAAAATTTGAATATAATGCAAAAGTGAAAAGAAAAAAGTGCTCTTGTTTTATGTATCACCTCAGAAAAGCAAGAAATTTAATCGTTTTGTTGGTGCTTTTGTTGTTTTTTGGGGAGAAAGAGGGGGATAACTTGTATTGGCTACATCTTTAATATGATTTTAAGACAATACTGCAACCACATTGATTTACATTTCAGTTGTACAGTTTGGAACAGATGGACGACCTTTCCATTTCATGTTTTACACCACTAAACCAGTATTTTCTGAATTATTACATGTAAGTATGTTGAAAACTTATAGAGGCCTCGGTGGCCAAGTGGTCTAAGTAGTCGAACTACTGTATCACTAGCCTGTCAACACTGAGATTGTGAGTTCGAATCCCACAGGCAGGTGTGCTCGACTCCAATCTTAATTGACTAGGATTGTCAGTTTTCCTACCGAAGGTCGTGGTTCTCTGTGGGCACTCTGGTTTCCTCCACCAATAAAAACTGACCACTAAGAAATACCACAATAGTGCTGAAAGTGACGTTAAACACCAATCAATCAAGATTTATACTTGATCAAGATACATGAAAATTTCTCAGCAAAAGATTTTTGGCTTGAGCATTTACTACTTATAGAAAGGTACAGAAAAATTAATATTCAGTACCTTTTGTTTTCCTATTCTTAAGATGAAAATCATGTATATGAATACAGGGGTCACCACACCAGACAGTATGAACGACAATAACGCTCTAGGATTCCTGACTTCGCTCTACTGTCGCCCTCGATTTTCAGTAAAATTCCCCAATGTCATCTCTTGATTTTTGAAAATTCTTGATCCGAATGTACATGATTCCAATATTCAACGAAATAAACATGTTCTACATTAAACCATGGCTAAAATTATCTTTACTTCTGACATATTTTTTGCATAATAGTCGGATGTCAAACTTTATTACCTGTCAGCCAGGTAATTTTAAGGGGACCGATACCTGTACATATCACATGACCTGTTTAATTCAAGTAGAAAATTTAGGTTTATTTATAATTAATTGCAATCTATTTTATAAATAAAAATGCATGACTGTACCTTCAAACTGGATATCTATATCCATAGTTAATAAATAAAATAAGTAATCGTGCAAACATTATCCATAAACACAAGTTAAAAATCTATTTATATCTACTTCTTGTCATTTAGGCAGGAAAATAGGGAGATTTGCTTGTCGACACTTGTAGATCTATATACCTAGATTTAGGAATTCTTTTTATCTGGATCATAACAAATAAAAAAGATTTAGATTTTAATACAGTATTAAGTCTGTATCTAGACCCTAAATAAATATTTCCAGATGAGGCAGGAAAAGACGTCTGTCGTCTTGAAATTGGTTTCCGTTTTTCTAACTTTAGTTTGCCTCAGCCAAATGTTATGAAACTTAAACACAATGCTTATTACTACAAAACACAGATCAAGTTTAAATTTTGGTAGCGTCACTTTTACTGTTCTTGAGTTATGTCCCTATATAACGTTATATGCAAGCGGGGGCATCATCTGTGTCCCATGGACACATTCCCCATTTTTTTTGTTAATTTTGATATCATTACTTTTATGCATCATTTCCTGGAATTGTAATGATTAATCTGGCATTTTGATTTATTGTTCAACAATAGCAATAATAAATGTGTTCAGAAGTTTGTAAAAGATTGTAATGTTTACTTTACAGGATGTGACAAGGCATTTACGAACTTTAAAAGCTAAAGAAGATGAATTTTATAGAGCTGACAAGTTTGATCAAATATATGAAAACACATTGTAAGTACTATAAATATTTAAAATCTAGTAACTTTTTAGTTATACATTATGCATGTAGTACTGCTGTTACTTGTCTCCCAACATTTTTCAAATTTGCATCTGAGAGGATTTATTTATATAATAAGGTTAACATTGTTGAATTCAACCAAAATTTCATTGTTTTATATATGAAAATTAGATTGTGCATTTTGATTGACGTGGATAATTTCAAACAAGTGAAAGAGGACAATCTTTTGTTTATTGCTAATTATGAAAAATAATGCTTGCAGTTATTAATAGTGATTGTCAAAAGTTGAGTGAAATGTTTAATTCATTAATGCTATCGTACTTAATAATATGTTTTACTGAAAAATACTTGGATCAGAATAAATATGTGAGTTTTCAATATAAATTTGATCAGAGGCGTTTCATGATAATTCATTTAATGTTTTTATACGACCCCAAAAATTTGCGACCATATAATGGTATGGCGGTGTTGTTGTCATCATCGTCCGAAGACATTTGGTTCCATACCACAAAAGAAAGGTTGGGAATGAATTTGGGGGTATTGACCCTAACTGTGTTAGAATTAGGGGTCAAAAACAAGCATTTTTCTTGTAACAGGACAATTACTTGTGTATAAGTGTATGATCTCTATGAAATTGTACCACAAGATTCCATACTTCAAAAGGATGGTTGGGATTGATTGGGGGGGGGGGGGGGGGGGGGGGGGGGGGGTTATGACCAAAACCATTTAGGAATTAGGAGCCAAAAAAACAATTCTTTTCTAATACTTTGCATAAATTGCTTATTTCTTGACTGATTTCAATGGAGTTTATTTCAGGTCTTGAATTCTTGGGGTTCTTTAATATGCTGAATCTAACCTAGATTTTGGATTCTGGGTCCTGTTCTTAAATTGGTCGACATTGAAGTGTAAAGGTAAAAATAAGAAGATGTGGTATATTTGCCAACGAGACAACTCTCCACAAGAGACCAAATGACATAGAAATTAACAACTATAGGTCACCGTACGGCCTTCAACAATGAGAAAAACCCATACCACATAGTCAGCTATTAAAGGCCCCGAAATGACAAATGTAAAACAATTCAAACAAGAAAACTAACGGCCTAATTTATGTACAAAATAATGAACGAAAAACACAAATATGATACACAGAAACAAACGACAACCACTGAATTACAGGCTCCCAACTTGGAACAGGCACATACAGAATGTGGCAGGGTTAAACATGTTAGTGGGCACCCAACCCTCCCCCTAATCTGGGACAGTGGTGTAACAGTACAACATAAGAACAAACAATAAAAATCAGTGGAAAAAGTCTTAACTCATCAGATAGATACAAACAGAAATACATATAACAAAAACAAAGAGTGGACGTGGCAGGGTACTTATACATCCCCACAACAAAAAGACACGTGCAGATCTGAGAGTACTCGCAGTTACTGACAGCTAGTTCAAAGCCAATAACAACTAATAAAAAAATCATGCATCTAAGACTATAAGGATCCATATTAAACTTTGTTTTATTTCATCAAAAATTGAATTAATAGGTTTCTTTGATATGCAGAATCTAACTGTGTATTTAGATTTTTAATTTTGGGCCCCATTTCAAATTTGTCCACATTTAGGTCCAAAGCATCCAAAATTAAACTTTATTTGATTTCAACAAAAATTGAATTCTTGGGGTTCTTTGAAATGCTGAATCTAACCATGTATTTTAGATTTTTGATTTTGGGCTCAGTTTTCAAGTTGGTCCAAATGGGGTCCAAAATTAAACTTTCATCAAAAATTGAATTCTTCAGGTTCTTTGATATGCTGTATCTAACCATGTATTTAGATTTTGGATATTGGGCCGCAATAAGTAAATGTGCAATTTTAAATTTCTAAGTTCTTGGACCACATTCATTCTATGTCAAATATTTAATCACAATCTAAATTCAGAGCTGCATCAAGCTTGAATGTAGTGTCCATACCTGCCCCAACAATTTGCATCACAATTTGATTAGAATATTATCCTATTTTTACAAAAAGTTGAAATAGAATTTATAAATTTCTTTGAAGAGACTTGGATGCTAATTGTTTTATTATATACCCACTCTAACATTTACCTTGGCCATCTGTCCATCCATTGGTTATATTAATTGTTCTGTCACACTTTACTTCATATTTAGTCAGAAGCTGGACAGTGATAAGCTGTAAAATATGATCACTTTTCAGATTTTCAGATCTTGCCTTTCAGTGTTCTCCCCAGGCCCTTAAAGGACCACGGACCTGCGGTGGTATAATTTTTGAGTGTGGTTCTATCGGTCTTAGCGCGGTGGTATAATTTTTGAGTGTGGTTCTATCGGTCTTAGCGCTGTGGTATAATTTTTGTCCAAATATCCTGGGGAGAACACTGCCTTTATTCATATTAATATTTTTATCACAGTACTTATTTTTGTATGATATTTCAGAAAGTTTGTAGATAGTGACTGGATTTCTTATGACAGATTTACACTCCTTTTCAAAGAAGAAAGGATTTCTCAAGATGATGTAAGTTAATAAATGAAATGATGTAAGTTAATAAATGAAGTGTAACCGAAAAACATTACGAAAGAATGTAAACTGCAATCTCATGTATAAAGTAAAAAATATGGTACCGTGAACACGACCTTTGTTTCTGCAATAACCATCAAGTAAGCTTTAGACCAGAAAGCCAAAAATCAAAAATATCAAACCAAATGAGACTATACAGAACAACAAATTTGTCATTCAATTTTGTCTAGAGAGTTGCTGTCGTTCAATAGTTTTTGTACAATTAAAAATTCATGAATTATTATTAAAATCATGCTAGTACCAAAGGGTTGCTTTACTTGATGGATGGTACATTTTGTACTTTGGAACTGAAAATACACTGTTAAATGACCCTGCCCTTAGAAGACAGGGTAATATGTATTATATTCATCAGGGACCTGATAAAGAAATAAATATGCTGTTCTTAAAATTAAAACAAAAATACTGAACTCCAAAGTAAATTCAAAAAGGGGGAAGCCCATAAAAACTGACAGAATCAAGCATTAGATTTTATCAACCAATGGAACGAATGGAAAACAACTGCCATAATACTGACTAAGAAGATGCAAGTGACTAAGACTTGGTACATTTACTAGTATCCAGGCTTGCTTGGATCTTTGCATAAAAGTCATGACTGTTTTTAAAGTAATCTCATTTGGGAAATTTGGCGTTGATAGCATATCTATGTAAATCTGATTAATTTATTTACAGTATTTTTAGACCTTGTGTGATATAAGAGTATAATATTTTGTATAGACACCTACTGTTGTTAAAAACAAATGATGACCTCATTTTGTCTGGTTTTTTTTTAGGTCATTAGGTTGTTCTCTCATTGAAGTATACCACAAATCACCTTTCATACATTTGTATTGCTTCTATTTGGTCTCGTTATACAGAATAAAACATTTATATCAGCTGACAATTAGATACCACATCATTATTCAGAGTAACAAAGAAATGCAGAAATCAATTTTTCCCAGAATTACAATATAAAGCAACTTTAGTCAAATTAATTCTCTTTTTTTTTAATAATTGAACTTTTTACATTTACAGTTTAAAATTACCTGTTAATGTTTTTTATTTTTTTAGTACAAACTTTTCTTAAAAAATGTTCAGCGCCTTGTGGACCACCCACTGAACCACAAGGTAGAAGATTTTATCATGCGGTACAGAGAAAAATTCCAAGGAACTCAAACAAATCCTAAATATAAGATAGTAAGTACATCAATATGATTGGCTAAGTGGTTTGCAGCTCCAGGATTTAATATATCTGCTGTAAGTTCTTTCTAAACATCACTTAGTGGATATCCCCGGATGGTTAACAATTCTCATATTTTCATCAGATTTAAATTAGTGATGTTTGCATAGTTTACTTGAACATCAATAGAATAATGAATAGATTGAACCAACATGATCTTTAGACATGTTAGAGAAAGACTTTTATGGCTGAAAACAACATATACCATGTATACTGTTAGAAAACTTGAGCTATTGTTTCATTTGCAACCTGGATATGCAATAGCATGTCTTAAAACTCATTGAAATCATGTAACTCATTCTCACCTTATTTTTTTGTCCATAATTCTAGTTTTACTTACATGCTGTAGATAAATTAAGAATACCTACTTCTTTTCCAGCTTGAAGAATCTGAAGATGGAAGTAAGGTGATTCGGGCAGAAGGTAAGGATTGTAATCCAGAAATTAGATATTTATCAACATCTGTGAAGTCCTCTGGATATGTTTTATTTTCACCACTACCAATTTTAGTGGATTGATGAAATATTTGATTTTGTCATTACTTTATTTCATAATTAATGACAAATTTTGCATATAAACTCATATGAAATTTGTATATTTTTGAAAACTTGAATTTATGATTAACCTTTATCAATGAAAGCCTTGAATATTAGTCCCCAAGAGAAATAAATAATCCAAAGTATGCTGTAAAACTAGGTATGTTAAGTTTCATTTTAAGAATGACTTATAGAAGCAAAGGAGATACATATGTACATGTACTGTAAATTCAGAAATTATTGAGATGTTTTTATTAATGTGGAAAATGGGAAGGTATCAGGTTACCCTTCCGGAGCACCTGAGATCACCCCCAGTTTTTGGTGGGGTTCGTGTTGCTTAGTCTTTAGTTTTCTATGTTGTGTCATCTGTACTATTATTTGTCTGTTTGTCTTTTTATTTTTGGCCATGGCGTTGTCAGTTTGTTTTTTCGATCTATGAGTTTCTGGTATCGTTCGTCCCTCTTTTGCAATACTGTAATAAAAACTCACATTCATAATCTAAGTAGTGATTTTCCTTCACAAGTTTTTTGTAATAGTTTTAATTAGATCTCACAACTTTTCCAGTATTCAGTGATTCACAATAATAAATGAACGCATCAAATTCTGAATTTACAGTATATAATTTTTGCAAGTCAAGTTGTTTTAACCAAATGTGGTATTTAGGGAAGAATAAAGGGTTATGGAATCCAGAAAAGATCTTTCTCGTGGCATAACATTTGGGCCTCACTTGTGGTTAAATTTGTAACCGGCTTGCAGTTTTTTTCTAGTTTCAGGTCAGTTTAAAATGCTAACATGACCATGTGTAAATATTTCAGGAGGTAGAAAAACAGCCAAAGCTGAGGTCAAGTTGATATCTCCAGGCACTGGGAAATTTACTTGTAATGGACAACCAATCAATTATTTTCCATCTGTTATAAGCAGGTAAATTACTTAAGTTGGAATACTTCTAGTTTTCGGGATTGAATTGATGTCTTTGCTGGAGATAAGCAATAAATATTTTAAATGTCTATCAAATGACATGACACTACCTTTAAGATATCATTGAATACACACAAAATCCTGAAATCAAATTGCAATATTTCTGAAAATAACAGGAAATATTTAAATAAAACCTTTATACCAATTTAAGGTTGAAATCAGCTTTCAAAATTTAAAAGATCAAATTGTACCCATATTGGAGTAAAAAAGAATCACTCTACTTTAAACAAAAATGTATATCAAATCTTTTAGCATGGCAAAAATATTTATCCCCTTTTTGATGCGTTGCAGGGGACATAGAATTACCGGGTGTCCGTCTGGTCTTGTTAGCTCTCTCACGTGTACAATTCTTGCCAGATTTTTATAGTACTTATATCATAGGTTTATATCAGCAATGTCTTGGACAAGTTCGAAAATCAGTGCAGATCATTTATTTTTAAAAGAGGTATGCCCCTTGGAAACATTAATTATATGGAAAATTACATCGTTAGCGCTCTCATTTGTACAATTCTTGCCAGATTTTTATGAAACTTATATCATAGGTTTATATTAGCAATGTCTTGGATGAGTTCGAAAATCAGTGCAGATCAATTATTTTTAAAAGAGTTATGCCCCTTGGAAACATTAAATATATGGAAAATTGCATCGTTAGCACTCTCATGTGTTCAATTTTTTGCCAGATTTTTATGTAACTTATATCATAGGTTTATATCAGCAATGTCTTTGACGAGATCGAAAATCAGTGCCGATCAGTTATTTTTAAAAGAGTTATACCCCTTGGAAATATTGATTATATGGAAAATTGCCTTATAGCACGAGAACACAGTTATTTCGTAGTGCATTTCATATAGAAAAAAAAAGCAAATAAAAAAAAATCCCACCTGCTCTATCACAAAAATATTTTTATAGTGTAGTGAACTACTTTTGGGACAAATTATATCAAAATTATAGAAAAGTCTATCGGCTCTAACTCAAAATATGGACAATTTTATGTTAAGGGGGTCTGTAATTCAGTTTGACAGCTTCAGACATACTAATTTTTGACCTTTTCAAACTGGACCAAATCACTACTTTACCTAAAAATTCATTCCCCAAATTTTTCTTACAGATAATTTCATCCCTCTTCTTACTATTTTATGCATAAAATATAAAGAAATAAATTTGGAAGGTGTATGAAAAAAATTTGCAAGTTATACACTGTCCGCACTAGGGACTCTATTTGTAGACAACGAAAATCAAATGACGACAACTGTGTCCCTAGACTGTATGAGCGCTCTAATGTGTACAATTTTTGCCAGATTTTTATGAAATTTTTAAAAGAGTTAGGCCCCTTGGAAATATAATGATTATATGGAAAATTGCATTGTCAGCATTTTCATGTGTACAATTACTGCCAGAATTTTATGAAACTTATATCATAGGTTTATATCAGCAATGTCTTTGACACTTTGGCACTTTGACACTTTCGAAAATAAGTGCTGATCAAATATTTTTAACGAGTTATACCCTTGGAAATATCAATTATAATGGAAATCACATTGCATTTGCTCTGAAGCCTTCATTTCTCTAGATATTAATAAAGGTGTAATACCATCAAATCATAGTACGTCACATCCGGTTGCATACGAAAATAGGTCGAAAAAAAAATATTCCCTTGAATTTGACAGTTGTAGGTAATTGATCCTACATTTCATTGCAGTAAAACATTTCTGGGTCATAAACATATATCTTGGGTATTTCAAAGCACCATTATTTTTTTAATTGGGGTTTCTATAGAATATTTTGGAAACTTGAGGTTACATGGTTACTAAAGCTTGTACACAGGTTAAAAAAGGGGGAAAATTTGATTGGTTAACTTCCAGTGATGGTTATTTTCTTATATGCAATGAATTGAAATGTTATGTGAAATTTTTTCTATAGTACTGGACAGGATAAAACTTCACTCATGCCAAGTATTTCTTTATTTGAAACAAAGATAAATTCTGCACAATTTTTTTAAAAGTGCAAATTTAACAAAGACTATTAGGGGAAAATCAATGGTGGTATTACACCTAAAAAGTTTTAAAGAACCCCAAAAAAATGCTTTTTTTAGTTATTGCCCTTGTACCTTTGATAGATAAAATATGTGCAATGCGGGGGACATTGGAAGTCTGTTCTTTTATCTTTGTATTTTTATAAATAAAGATATATCATTAGCCAGGGGAACAAAAAATGGATTATTCTATATAGCGACAGACAATTTTGAAGTACCTTAGTGCTCTACAAAGTTGTGAAAGGTCTTCTGTTCAATCCCAAGCTGGCTCAACCTAAGACTATAAAATTGATCAAGCTGCTTTTACACCATTCACAAAGAGTTATATTGAATAACTAATTTAAGATTTCAAATATCCAACAACTGACCAAACAACACATAAATTTTCAAACGCACATAGGGCATGAGTTCATTATCCGTGTTGTTCCGTCACCAGTTGAATATTTTCGATATTTTAATTCTTGTATTTGTTATTCTGTTTATTAAGTTGACTTTTTAATGGAAATAAAGTTGAAAATGCAAGAAACTATCTTTTTCACATTTTAAATTTGTTTTGAAGCAACTTCGTCAACCATGTCTTGACAACACCTTATGTTGTATTGAGTCAGAAGAATGAAATTGTTGAATTTATTTCACATGTGAAATTTTGGGGTTTTTTTACACAGGGAAATCAGGGTATTTCATTTCCACTTATGTAATAATTTGTAAAACAGAAGATTGATCAGTTCAGAGTCAAAATAATGTGCCTGATTAGGGTGAAATGTCTTCCATTGGACTGTTACCTTGTGAGGTAGCACGTCAAAAATATAAGTAAATGATAGGTTAGTGTTGTACAAAGCAGGATATATTCAACATGTCAACATGCTTTCATTCTTGAAACAAAGGGAGTGTATTTGTCAAAAATGGCTGAAGGAGATCAACCAAAACCACCTGAAATCAAATATACCTAAAGATTTACCTTAGTTTTAGTAACATTGCATATGTAACATCAGATAAATCACTTTATTTCAGAGAGCAGATTATGTTTCCACTAGAACTGGCAGGAAAATTAGGACAAGTTGATGTAGAGGCTAAAGTTGAAGGTGGAGGTCAAAGTGGCCAGTCAGGTGCTATACGTCTAGGAATATCCAGATGTTTAGTATCTATTGTTGATGAGGAGACAGTACAAAAGATGAGACTAGGTAAAACAATCAGAACAATTACATAAAGTTGAAAGTATTAAACCCTAGATTAATTCACCAATTTGATAAAATCTTAACTTAGATTTAGCAATGGCTTCCTTTCAAATATGTCCCAAGATCTTAACCAACCTCCAAGATTGCTGCCATTACCAAAATTAATTTATATAAATGTCAAACACAGGGTTACCCTTTCAATCAAAATTTATCAACATTTTTATCAGTAAAACATGGCAATATTATATCTATATAAAATAATTCCAGGATAAAATATAGCTTTAGACATGAATATTCATATTTTTGCAGCAAATATTGAAATATTGAGATCAAAGTCACCAATGTTTGTTGATTGGTCATATGAAGGTATAACTCATATTATTTCAAAAGGAAATTGGCCAGATATTACATTGTATATATGTATGTACGTATGCCAGGCTATTTTGAAATCCTAGTTTAACATAAAATGATCAGACATCATGACCTTAATTTTGCAGCTGTACAGGTAATGTGTTCTCAGTTAAGGTTATTTAGCTTCATGCATTTTTAAAGAAAAGGAAAAGGTAAACAAAACAATCTTATTTTTTTTTTACGTTTTAGCTGGATTATTAACTAGAGATCCAAGGATGAGAGAAAGGTCAAAACCATTCAAGAAAGGTGCAAGAAAGGGTCGTGTATGGTCAGTATTTCATTCATTTGCTTTCAGATTTGAAGTTTATTAAAATTAATAGGCATTTTTACTTTCTGTATGCATATTAATGTTTGAACGACTCAAAACAAAATATATTTTTGCATTATTCTGATGCTAGCTAGGTATATGTTATTAGTAGGGCACCAAGTCTAATGAACACAGACATTCTTATTATTTTTACAAGTATTGGCTAAAATTATCACTTACAGTACTAAATGAATTTGATTGAAAACTTTAATTGATAAAATGAGATTAATTGTAATTTACACATGACCAAATGAAATAATAATACATTTTTTTATGTGTTTTCAGGAAAAAGAGATGAAGATGAACAAATGGAACATTATATTTACCAGGACTAATTTGTTTGTTTGTTATGTATATATACAGTCAAGTATTTGCTTGTCATTTTTAGCTCACCTGACCTGAAAGGTCAAGTGAGCTTTTCTCATCACTTTGCGTCCGTCGTCCTGCGTCCGTCGTCCGTCGTCCGTCGTCCGTAAACTTTTACAAAAATCTTCTCCTCTGAAACTACTGGGCCAAATTTAACCAAACTTGGCCACAATCATCATTGGGGTATCTAGTTTAAAAAATGTGTGGCGTGACCCGGCCAACCAACCAAGATGGCCGCCATGGCTAAAAATAGAACATAGGGGTAAAATGCAGTTTTTAGCTTATAACTCAAAAACCAAAGCATTAAGAGCAAATCTGACATGCGGTAAAATTGTTCATCAGGTCAAGATCTATCTGCCCTGAAATTTTCAGATGAATCGGACAACCCGTTATTGGGTTGCTGCCCCTGAATTGGTAATTTTAAGGAAATTTTGCTGTTTTTGGTTATTATCTTGAATATTATTATAGATAGAGATAAACTGTAAACAGCAATAATGTTCAGCAAAGTAAGATTTACAAATAAGTCAATATAACCGAAATGGTCAGTTGACCCCTTTAGGAGTAATTGCCCTTTATAGTCAATTTTTAACCATTTTTCGTAAATCTTAGTAATCTTTTACAAAAATCTTCTCCTCTGAAACAACTGGGCCAAATTAAACCAAACTTGGCCACAATCATCATTGGGGTATCTAGTTTAAAAAATGTGTGGCGTGACCCGGCCAACCAACCAAGATGGCCACCACAGCTAAAAATAAAACATAGGGGTAAAATGCAGTTTTTGGCTTATAACTCAAAAACCAAAGCATTTAGAGCAAATCTGACATGAAGTAAAATTGTTCATCAGGTCAAGATCTATCTGCCCTGAAATTTTCAGATGAATCGAACAACCTGTTGTTGGGTTGCTGCCCCTGAATTGGTAATTTTAAGGAAATTTTGCTGTTTTTGGTTATTATCTTGAATATTATTATAGATAGAGATAAACTGTAAACAGCAATAATGTTCAGCAAAGTAAGATTAACAAATAAGTCAACATGACTGAAATGGTCAGTTGACCCCTTTAGGAGTTATTGCCCTTTATAGTCAATTTTTATCAATTTTTCGTAAATCTTAGTAATCTTTTACAAAAATCTTCTCCTCTGAAACTACGTGGCCAAATTGAACCAAACTTGGCCACAATCATCATTTGGTTATCTAGTTTTAAAAATGTGTGGCGTGAGCTGGTCAACCAACCAAGATGGCCGCCACGGCTAAAAATAGAACATAGGGGTAAAATTCAGTTTTTGGCTTTTAACTCAAAAACCAAAGCATTTAAAGCAAATCTGGCATGAAGTAAAATTGTTCATCAGGTCAAGATCTATCTGCCCTGAAATTTTCAGATGAATCGGACAACCCGTTGTTGGGTTGCTGCCCCTGAATTGGTAATTTTAAGGTAATTTTGCTGTTTTTATACGACCGCAAAAAAATTTTGAGGTCGTATATTGGTATGACGTTGGCGTCGTCGTCGTCGTCGTCGTCGTCGTCGTCGTCGTCCGAATACACAATGGTTTTCGCACTCTAACTTTAGTTTAAGTGAATGGATCTCTATGAAATTTTACCATAAGGTTCAATACCACAATAGGAAGGTGGGGATTGATTTTGGGGGTTATGGTACCAACAGTAAAGGAATTAGGGGCCAAAAAGGGGCCGAAAATAAGCATTTTTGTAACTTCCAGACATAACTTGTGTGTTAGCATATGGATCTCTTTGACATTGTACCACAAGATTCCATATCACAAAGGGTCAATGCTGGGATTGATTTTGGGGTTAATTGCCTCAAAATTTTAGGAATAAGGGGCCAAAAGGGGGCAAAAAACAAGCATTTTTCTAGTTTCATGACAATAACTTGTGTGTAAGTGTATGGATCTTTCTGAAATTTTACTACAAGGTTCCATTTCACAAAGGGAAAGCTGGAATTGAGTGTTGTGGTAATTGCCCAAAACGTTTAGTAATAAGGGGCCTAAAAAGGGGTTTAAAATAAGCATTTTTTAGTTTCTAGACAATAACTTGTGTTCAAGTGTATGGATCTCTCTAAAATTGTATTACAAGGTACCATACCACAAAGGCAAGGCTGTTATTGAGCTTGGTTTGGGGGGAAAGGGGGGTGGGGGTGATGAATCATAAGGGGGGCGGGGGTCAAAAAAGGGGTAATTTTTTTTTTTCCTTTTTTTTTTGTTTAAAATTTACATTTTAAGTTAGTTATTTTTTATCACGAAGAGAAAGTAGGAATTGAGTTTTGGGGTTAATTGCTCAAACATTTATGAATAAGGGGCCAAATATTGGTCGAAAATAAGGATTTTTTTAGTGTGCTCTAATGTTTAAGGAATAAGGGGAAAAAAGGTTAAAAAACAAGGGTTTCCATTTTAATAGACAAATAATTGAGTAAAGAACATTATTTAAAAGCAGTGTAAGGTTGGTAATTCAAACTCATTTAAATATCTCATCTACACTGCTTTTAAATTATGTAAATTGGAAATTTGCCAATAACTTTATTGTTAATAAATGCATTGGAAATTTGCCAACAATTTTAGTGTAATAAACTTCATTGGAAATTTGCCAATATAAAATTTTGCTGATGAAGGTTTTTTGTTTACCTTTAGCCTTGACTATGAAGTCATTTTCTATTTTTATAGCCTTATGATGTAGCTGAATTATTTAATACTTTTATGATGTGTTTAAATGGGGTTTTATCATGTTTATGGTTGCAAATTTATTGTTTTAGTATAATAAACTCCATTTAAAATTTGCCAATAAAAAAAATTTTTGTTTATTTTTAGCTATGATTATGATGTCATTTTCTATTTTACTTTATGGTTGCAAAGAAATTTTTATTTTTAGATATTACTGTTAAATGATGCTGATTAAGGTTTTTGCTATGTTTAGCCATGACTATGATGTCATTTTCTATTTTAATATCTGTTATGATGTATTTAAATGGGCTTTTATGGTTACAAAGGAATTTTATTTTTAGATATTACTATAAAATGTTGCTGATGCTGATTAAGGATTTTGTTTATTTTTAGCCATGACTATGATGTCATTTTCTATTTTAATACCTTTATGATGTAATTTCCATTTTTAGATATTACTGTTTAATGATGCTGATTAAGGGTTTTTTGCTATGTTTAGCCATGACTATGATGTCATTTTCTATTTTAATATCTTTATGATGTATTTAAATGGGCTTTTATGGTTACAAAGGAATTTTATTTTTAGATATTACTTTAAATGTTGCTGATTAAGGATTTTTGTTTATTTTTAGCCATGACTATGATGTCACTTTCTATTTTAATACCTTTATGATGTATTTAAATGGGCTCCCATGTATTTAGATTTTTGATTATTTATACATGTTACCAAATTGGTCCACATTGAACAAAAACGGTCCAAATTTCAACTTTATTACATTACATCAAACATTGAATTCTACATATTCTTTGATATATTGAAATTAACAAACAATTTAGTTTATGGAGATTCCACCATAATAGGTAAATTAAATTTTTTTCCAGTTCTTACACCACATTCATCCTGTGTCAGAAACCTATGCTGTGTCAAATATTTAATGACAATCCAAAGTCATAGCTGTATCAAGCTTGAATTTTGTGTCCATACTTGCCCCAACTGTTCAGGGTTCGACCTCTGCGGTCGTATCAAGCTGCGCCCCAGCGAAGCATTTTATTGGTTATTATCTTGAATATTATTATAGATAGAGATAAACTGTAAAAAAACAATAAATGTCGGCAAAGTAAGATCTACAAATAAGTCAACATGACCGAAATTGTCAGTTGACCCCTTTAGGAGTTATTGCCCTTTAAAGTCATTTAACCATTTTTTCGTAAATCTTAGTAATCTTTTACAAAAATCTTCTCCTCTGAAACTACTGGGCCAAGTTAATTATAGATAGAGATAATTGTAAGCAGGAAAAATGTTCAGTAAATTAAGATGTACAAACACATCACCATCACCAAAACACAATTTTGTCATGAATCCATCTGCGTCCTTTGTTTAATATTCACATAGACCAAGGTGAGCGACACAGGCTCTTTAGAGCCTCTAGTTATTTAATACACATAAAAAAGTAGTTATTGCTATTGTGAATTCTGAAATGTATATTGAAAACATTGCTTTTTAGGCAGTAGCAAAAATGTAGCTGGGACATATAGATTAAATCTATTCTTGAGTTACCCCATTACCGTTTGTTATTGAACAATGAGAGCGCTCAAACATCCAAGCAATCTCTAATGAAAACATACAGAAACACCTGTCATTAAGTTTCAAAGAAAACAAAACCTCAATAGGTATGATTTATTACATTGACCTTGCATATTTACAAGTGGGGTAATCTATATTTATATACATTGATGTTGGAATCAAAAACAACTTCATGGTTTGCATTAGTGATGTCTTTACACAAAATATTTTGTTGACTTTTTTGTGGCTTTGGTTATTAAAGTTATAAATCAATATATGGAATAACAGTGAAATGTCTCACGGCATCAAACTTTTGATGAAAATAACAGTATAAATTTAGTTGTGTGTGAAGCTCTTTTCTTGATTTACCTTCATCAGCAACGCTCAAACCCAAACGTTTGAAAGCCAAAGATGTATACATATATGTAGAAACTTGAGGTAATATGGTTACTAAAGCTTGTAAACAGGAAAAAAAGGGGTGAAAATTTGATTGGTTAACCTCCAGTGATGGTTATTATCTTATATGCAATGAAATTTTATGTGAAATTTTGTCTGTAGGACTAAACAGGATAAAACTTTACTCATGCCAAGTATTTCTTTATTTGAAACAAAGATAAATTCTGCACATTTTTTTTAAAAGTGCCAATTTAACAAACACTAATAGGGGAAAACAATGGTGGTATTACTCCTATGGAACAATCGTTTAGAGAAAATTGGATCTAAATGTACTTGCTTGCAGTATAAAATTGTGTACAGTACTGTTTGTATGCCCCACCTATGATAATAGAGGGGCATTATGTTTTTTGGTCTGTGCCTTCATTCGTTCGTTCATCCTTTCGTTCGTCTGTCCGTCCGTCCGTTCGTCCGTCTGTCCCGCTTCAGGTTAAAGTTTTTGGTCAAGGTAGTTTTTGATGAAGTTGAAGTCCAATCAACTTGAAATTTAGTACACATGTTCCCTATGATATGATCTTTCTAATTTTAATACCAAATTAGAGTTTTGACCTTAATTTCACAGTCCACTGAACATAGAAAATGAGAGTGCGAGTGGGGCATCCGTGTACTAAGGACACAATCTTGTTATATGATATACTGTATAGTAAGATACATATCTGTAACAGTTTTTCAATAAAAGTGCTACTAGTCTGTGAATTTAAGACTAAACTGCATTAAATAATCAAGTCCGGTTCAGATGGAGATATAAACACAAGAATATGGTTTGATTATAAATGATAGAATTATCCACAAGAGATTAAAGGATGAGGATGAAAACAACTATGAACCTTTTAAAACTTACTATACGTATGGGTTTTACTCATTGTTGAAGGCAACTGCAGGGTTTGTTACTCGTGCTGGTGTTTTGGTGGCGTCACTTTTGCCGTTCTTGAGTTATGCCCCTTTACAAATTGAAAAATTGATGAATTTTATGTTTCAGTTCTCTAATTTTAGTTTGCCTCAACCAAATGTTATGAAACTTATACACAATGCTTATTACCACACAACACAGATCAAGTTTAAATTTTGGTGGCGTCACTTTTACTGTTTTAGAGTTATTAGATATAAGAAGATGTGGTATGAGTGTCAATGAGACAACTCTCCATCCAAGTCAAAATTTATAAAAGTAAACCATTATAGGTCACAGTACGGTCTTCAACACGGAGCCTTGGCTCACACCGAACAGTAAGCTATAAAGGGCCCCAAAAAAATTACTAGTGTAAAACCATTCAAACGGGAAAACCAACGGTCTAATCTATATAAAAAACGAGAAACGAGAAACACTTATGAACCACATCAACAAACGACAACTACTGAACATCAGATTCCTGACTTAGGACAGGTTCAAACAAATGCAGCGGGTTTAAACGTTTTAATGGTACCAATTATGCCCCTTTACAAATGGAAAAATTGCTTTTTTTTTGTTTCTGTTCTCTAACTTTAGTTTGCCTCAACCAAATGTTATGAAACTTATACACAATGCTTATTACCACAAAACACAGATCAAGTTTGAATTTGGTGGGGTCACTTTTATCGTTCTTATATTATATACTTGGAATCCCAAAAACTTATCTTTTTTTTATTTGTGGTGCGGGGAGCATTGATTGGAGTGTAAAAAAGCAGAGAAAAGGCACTGGCCTCCTCAGGCCATAGAGTTTATCTAGATAAGTTCATCCTGAGAAGAAATGTTTCAAAGACATAAACTGCATTCATTTTTCAGGGAATATTATCTTTAAAGTTAAATTGCAGATAGGGGGAATGAACAGATAAAATTACAACTTAAAAGGAATATATGGGTACCTCAACTTTAAAATGAATATACAGATAAACCAACTAAAAAGGAATGTACAGATAAACCAACTAAAAAGGAATGTACAGATAAACCAACTAAAAAGGAATGTACAGATAAACCAACTAAAAAGGAATGTACAGATAAACCAACTAAAGAGGACTGTACAGATAAACCAGCTAAAAAGGAATGTACAGATAAACCAACTAAAAATGAATGTACAGATAAACCAACTAAAAATGAATATACAGATAAGCCAATTAAAAAGGAATGTACAGATAAACCAACTAAAAAGGAATGTACAGATAAACCAACTTAAAATGAATGTCAAGATAAACCAACTTAAAATAGATAAACCAACTAAAAAGAGTGAACAGATCAGTGAACTGACTTAAAATTATAGATAAACCAACTAAAAAGGAATATACAGATAAACCAACTTAAAATGAATATATAGATCAATCAACTAAAGAGTACTGTTTGGGTAAACCAACTTATAATGAATGTACAGATAAATCAACTTAGAAGGAATGTACAGATAAACCAACTCAAATGGATATACAGATAAATCAACTAAAAAGGAATGTACAGATAAACCATCTAAACAGGAATGTACAGAAAACCCAGCTTGAAATGAATGTACAGATAAACCAACTTAAAATGAATATAAAGATAAACCAAATTAAAAGGAATGTACAGATAAACCATCTAAACAGGAATGTACAGATAACCCAACTTAAAATGAATATACAGATAAACCAGTTCAAAATTAATATAAAGATAACCCAAATTAAAAGGAATGTACAGATAAACCAACTTAAAATGAATGACCATGTATAGGAATTATTAGTTAGATTTTTTCCCTGGCTATTATGCAGCATAAGAAGAAAGTTATGACCACTGCAATCTTAATAATCTAATAAATTGTTGCAGAACTAAGGGCATTTGTCACAGTCATTTCATGATATATGCCTTTAGTGGAGCAGGATCCGCATAACCCTTGAAGGGCATTTGTGTCCACTCATTGGTTATCACATTTTTTTGTGTTGCTTTATCTTTTCTTCTCTGTGTAGAGTTAGATTTTTATTGTGCTTTATACCTTTTTATTTAAGCCATAGAGTTGTCTGTCTTTGTCTGAATGGTTTTTTATTGCTCTATTGGTCACTTTTTAATGCCATCCCCAAAAATATCCTCTAATTGGAAACAGACAGGATATACGTTAGTTACATTTTACGACAATACCATTTGTAGATGGTAAATTCTGGTGAAATTTTAATACAATGTTTCTTTACATAAACGAAAGGATAGGGTTGATTCCTGGATC